TAGTTTGATGAGTTCAGTCTAAAAGTTTTTATTTATATTTATATTTTGATCATCCTTTTGTTTGTCTCTAATCTCTGTTTTGGTTCGTTCATTAGAAGTCGGTCGTTTGTGACGTTTCAGTCTTGGACTAATTCATATTTTTCTGTCAGAGTGTCACTCAGACGCACAATTTTTAAATGTTTACACAACATTTTTGCAATTTTTCCGGTTTCAAATCCTGTAATTACTTTAAAACAACATTTTGAGACATCTGGTCTGGTATGAACACGTCTGCGCTCGTAAATCACAGAGAAAAATGACAAAAGAATCATTTTTCAACGGCTAAGAATGCGTGGGGTCACACTGTGTCAGATGCCCTCCCTTCCTCCTGTAAGTCAAATGAACGTTTACTGTGGTGAATTTGAACTTTTTAGATAAATATGAACTGTACTTGTAGTTTGGCGAGTATTTTTAACACATTATATTCTTCGGTTTGTCAAAAGTACTCGAGTCATGGTCACTCTAAACCCTGATCCTTGGCTTCTCTAACACTTTGGAAAATATGGGTCACACTGGAAAAAAAAAAAAAAAACAATATCTAGGTCATAGTCCGGGGTCATCAAACTAAGGCCCGTGGGCCAAATCCGGCCCGCCACACCTCTTTGACCGGCCCCACAGCCCCTCGGCCCCCACCCACCTGAACTGACTCAAAAGTGTCATGGCCTATTTTTATTTTTTTTTATTACTTTTTGGTAAATAATAACACGTCTGCATCTTGTATTTTGTTGATTTTTTCAGTTAAATAATTATATTTATATGAAGTATTTATATTTAAATAATTGTATGATGTATTTACTTTTACCAACAAATTTTCGTCACGTGACAAACTCAAAATCAAACAGTGACTGAGTTTGTCTGATGTGTAAAGAAAGTGAGGAGGTTTGCAAAGAACATAATCTGTGTCATCAGGGTCAAACAATTCTGTTACATGGCCTATTCTATCTTAAATTTTATATTTAATTAAATTTTATCTTTAATTTTAATTTATTTTATCTTTAATTTTAATTTTATCTTTAATTGTATTACTATTATTATTTACTTACTTTATTTACATATGTTTTTGTTATGCAAGTCACATAGAATTTAAAAATAATGTATATTATATATATATATATATATATATATATATATATATATATATATATATATATATATATATATATATATCCTGGTCAGTTGTTGTTGTTTTTTTTTTTGTTGTTGTAGAAAATTTGTTCTAAACTGAAAATGTTAATAAAGTTTAAAAAATTTGTTAAAAAATTTAAGTAAAAAAAAATTATCAGCCTAAGAACACGGCTCATTTCACTCTATTTTATGATCTTGGTTCTAATGTTCTTCCCTCACACAGAAAACACTCTGCCCCACCTTGTGATGTCATGTGGTGATACAGGAAGTGCTGCTCCACTGTGGTTTAGAACTGGTTTAGTCCTAATTTAGTCCTGGTTTAGTCCTGCCTTAGACCTAGTTTAGTCCTGGTTTAGTCCTGGTTTAGTCCTGGTTTAGTCCTGTAGATTTAACTCATTTCTGACTCATGTTTAGTCCTGGTCCAGGTCTTGGTCTTGGTCTGGTTAAACCTGGTTTAGTCCACGTGGACTTGAGTCATTTGAAGCAGCGTCAAATACTTTTAAGTGCTCATATTACTCTGTTTCATATTCTCTCTCTCTTTGTTCTAATGTTTTTCTCTCAGAACAGAAAACACTCTGCTCCACCTTGTGATGTCATCATGTGGTGACACAGGAAGTGCTCCACTGTGTTTTTAAACTCCACACACCTTCACTAGAATCATTTGCACCATATTATCCACGGAATTGCAAGTCTCAACTGAACTAAAGGTAAAAGGATCTGTTTAAGTTGAAAACTACCACTTCATGACATCACAAGGTGGAACAGATCATTTTGAGCTCTGGAGATGAACACAAACTAATAATAAAGAATTACTCAAAACAAAACTCCAGGTCTGTTTTTGAGAACAGAATGACAGTGGTTTAGTCCTGGTTTAGTTTTAGTTTAGACCTGCCTGGTAGTCCTGCTGTAGTCCTGGTTTAGTCCTGGTTTAGTCCTGGTGTAGTCCTGGTGTAGTCCTGGTGTAGTCCTGGTGTAGTGGTAGACCTGGTTTAGACCTGGTAGACCCTGCTGTAGACCTGGTTAGTCCTGGTTTAGACCTGGTGTAGTCCCTGGTTTAGACCTGGTGTAGTCCTGGTACCTGGTTTAGACCTGGTTTAGACCTGGTTTAGACCTGGTTTAGTCCTGGTTTAGACCTGGTCCTGGTTTAGACCTGGTTTAGACCTGGTTTAGACCTGGTTTAGTGGTTTAGCCTGGTGTAGACCTGGTGTAGACCTGGTGTGTAGACCTGGTGTAGACCTGGTGTAGTCCTGGTTTAGACCCTGGTTTAGTCCTGGTTTAGTCCTGGTTTAGAGATCCTGGTTTAGTCCTGGTGGTTTAGACCTGGTTTAGTCCTGGTTTAGACCTGGTTTAGTCCTGGGTTTAGTCCTGGTGTTAGACCTGGTTTAGACCTCCTGGTTTAGACCTGGTTTAGTCCTGGTTTAGTCCTGGTTTAGTCCTGGTTTAGGTTTAGTCCTGGTGTAGACCTGGTGTAGACCTGGTTTAGTCCTGGTTTAGACCCGGTTTAGTCCTGGTTTAGTTTTAGCTTAGTCCTGGTTTAGACCTGGTTTAGTTTTAGTTCAGTCCTGGTTCAGTCCTGGTTTAGACCTGGTTTAGTTTTAGTTCAGTCCTGGTGTAGACCTGGTTTAGAAGTCCTGGTTTAGTCCTGGTTTAGTCCTGGTTTAGTCCTGGTTTAGTCCTGGTTTAGACCTGGTTTAGTCCTGGTTTAGACCTGGTGTAGTCCTGGTTAGTGGTTTAGATCTGGTTTAGTCCTGGTTTAGATCTGGTTTAGTCCTGGTGTAGACCTGGTTTAGACCTGGTTTAGACCTGGTTTAGACCTGGTTTAGACCTGGTGTAGTCCTGGTTTAGTCCTGGTTTAGATCTGGTTTAGATCTGGTTTAGATCTGGTTTAGTCCTGGTTTAGTCCTGGTTTAGTCCTGGTTTTAGACCTGGTAAGTAAAAATTTCATTTACACCGTGTTAATGAAATGAAACCTTAATTTTTATGATATTTTTTTATTTTATTTATTTTTGCCTTTTATCACATTAATATTTTCAAATTATTCAGCAGCCTAAACATATGAAATACTATTTTTAATAAACTTCATTCAATTTTACGTGTTTTGTTTATTTGTTTTTATCATGACTCTAGTTCTAACAAAGTAAAGTATTAGTAATAATTGTAATAATTAATACTCTTACATGTTACTTACAGTTTATTACATGTATGAAGCTGTATTAGGCATCAGGTCGACTTTTGAGGACTTTACAATTACTTTCTAATAATGACTTTAGGCCAGTTGCATAAATACACATCATACATCACTTACGTCTTATTATTTAATATTAAAAACATGATTATTATGATGTTATAGAGCTGCTTTATCAGGCCTATTATTATTTACATATTTTTTTACATCATGAAAACACAGACAGGCCTATTCATTTGACTCTTATTATCTATTATTGAAAATACAATAAGTCTACAGCTTTTGGACACTTTTATTCAGGATAATGTTACAGAATTAAAAACCTACATGAACAGAACCTGAGTCTGGCCACGTCGGACACAAACTCTGCTCTAAATAACAAGTTTAGATTTTATTTAGGGTTTTAATTCACAAATAAATCCAAGATATTTTTGTGTAATGTGAAATAAGTCAGAGTGACTGAGTCTCTTGACCTCTAGACCCGGTTTAGACCCGGTTTAGACCCGGTTTAGACCCGGTTTAGACCCGGTTTAGTTTTAGCTTAGTCCTGGTTTTCTCCTGGTTCAGTCCTGGTTCAGTCCTGGTTTAGACCTGGTTTAGTTTTAGTTTAGTCCTGGTTCAGTCCTGGTGTAGTCCTGGTTTAGACCTGGTTTAGACCTCCTGGTTTAGTCACGGGTTTAGTCACGGTTTAGACCTGGTTTAGTCGCAGTTTAGTTCTGGTTTAGACCTGGTTTAGTTTTAGTTTAGTCCTGGTTTTCTCCTGGTTCAGTCCTGGTTCAGTCCTGGTTTAGACCTGGTTTAGTTTTAGTTTAGTCCTGGTGTAGTCCTGGTTTAGACCTGGTTTAGTCGCAGTTTAGACCTGGTTTAGTTTTAGTTTAGTCCTGGTTTAGTCCTGGTTTAGTCACGGTTTAGACGGTTTAGGTTTAGACCTGGTTTAGACCTGGTTTAGACCTGGTTTAGTTGCAGTTTAGTTCTGGTTTAGTTTTAGTTTCGTCCTGGTTTAGTCCTTGTTTAGTCACGGTTTAGTTCTGGTTTAGACCTGGTTTAGACCTTGTTTAGTCCTTGTTTAGTCGCAGTTTAGTTCTGGTTTAGACCTGGTTTAGTCCTTGTTTAGTCCTGGTTTAGACCTGGTTTAGACCTGGTTTAGTCCTGGTGTAGACCTGGTTTAGACCTGGTTTAGTCCTGGTTTAGACCTGGTTTAGACCTGGTTTAGACCTGGTTTAGACTGGTTTAGTCCTGGTTTAGACCTGGTTTAGACTTGACTCCAACACAAGTTTGAGAGAAACTTTACCCAAAATAACCAATTTACATTTTATTTCCGTTTAAATTCCCAAATAATAATAATAAGTTAATAATGAGTTAATAATAGGTTAATAATAGTTTAATAATAGTTTAATAATAAGTTCCAGCGCGTGCGTCTCTTGTGTTACGCGGATAATCAGTAGAACAATGCGCGTGAGTCGAGCCGGTGCTTTTGTTTACGTCGTGAATGCGTGGCCCGGTTTGGAGCAGGTAACGCAACTTCGCCCTGACTAATCCCCTCCGAGTGCCCACGGAAAAACAGGTTTGGGGCCGTGAGAACGTGCAGCTTTTTTACGCAGCCGTGATTCACAAACAAAAAAACACCTGAGAAAGTCAACAAAGCCCTTACCTGGATTTACCTGGACGTACGCGACGTGAACTCGTAACGAAGAACAACAAAGACGACGACGAAGAAGAAGAAGAAGTTCTGCTCCGACTCCGGTCCGAGCGTAATCCGAGTTGTGTTTTTGGCTTCAGTAAACACGCGCATCCATGTTACGCGCGCACTCGAACGTGTCCGTGGTCGTGTCGGGTTGCATGGTGTTCCGGTATGTCGGTGTCACGCACGGAGCCCCGGGGACGCTGTGCGAGCTCCGCGTTTGACACATTTATAAAGCGCCACTGGACCTGCGGGTTCCGCCTTCGAAACTTCACCCGAGATCCACCTGTGCGCGCGCGCCATTGGCCACGGGTCACGTGACGCGGCTCAGGTGAATGTGGGCGGGGCTTGGGGGGGGGTAACCTTAGCAACCTGGGAGCGCGAGGGACGCCTCCGGGTCCCAGTGCCAGTCCGAGAGGGAGACTGGTTTAGACCTGATTTAGACCTGGTTTAGTCTTGGTTTAGACCTGGTTTAGTCCCAGTATAGACCTGGTTTAGTCCTGGTTTAGTCCTGGTTTAGACCTTGTTTAGACCTGGTTTAGTCCTGGTTTAGACCTGGTTTAGTCCTGGTTTAGTTCTGTTTAGACCTGGTTTAGACCTGGTTTAGTCCTGGTTTAGACCTGGTTTAGTCCTGGTTTAGTCCTGGTTTAGACCTGGTTTAGTCCTGGTTTAGACCTGGTTTAGTCCTAGTTTAGTCCAGGATTAGTCTTTGTTTAGTCCTGGTCTAGACCTGGTCAAGACCTGGTCTAGACCTGGTCTAGACCTGGTTTAGACCTGGTTTAGTTTAGACCTGGTTTAGACCTGGTTTAGTCCATGTTTAGTCCAGGATTAGTCTTTGTTTAGTCCTGGTCTAGACCTGGTCAAGACCTGGTCTAGACCTGGTTTAGACCTGGTTTAGTCCTGGTTTAGACCTGGTTTAGTCCTTGTTTGTTCCTTGTTTTCCTCTGGTTTTGACCTGCATTGCTTTAGTCCATCTTTAATCCTGGTTTAATCCCCAAGTAGCCTTGGTGGTTTTGTCCTGGTTTTGACTCTTTAGTCCTGTTTTAGTCCTGTTTTAGTCCTGGTTTAGTTCTGGTTTAGTCTGGTTTAGTCCTGGTTTAGTGGTTTAGTTCTGGTTAGTCCTGGTTTAGTTCTGGTTTAGTCTGGTTTAGTCCTGGTTTAGTCCTGTTTAGTTCTGGTTTAGTCCTGGTTTAGTCTGGTTTAGTCCTGGTTTAGTTCTGGTTTAGTCTGGTTTAGTCCTGGTTTAGTCCTGGTTTAGTCCTGTTTTAGTTCTGGTTTAGTCCTGGTTTAGTTCTGGTTTAGTTCTGGTTTAGTCCTGGTTTAGTCCTGGTTTAGTTCTGTTTAGTCCTGTTTAGTCCTGTTTTAGTTCTGGTTTAGTCCTGGTTTTAGTTCTGGTTTAGTTCTGGTTTAGTTCTGGTTTAGTCCTGGTTTAGTTGGTTTCTGGTTTAGTCCTGGTTTAGTTCCTGGTTTAGTTCTGTTTTAGTTCTGGTTTTTCCTGGTTTAGTCCTGGTTTAGTCCTGGTTTAGTTCTGGTTTTAGTCCTGGTTTAGTTGGTTTAGTTTCTGGTTTAGTCCTGGTTTAGTCCTCTGGTTTAGTCCTGGTTTAGTTCTGGTTTAGTCCTGTTTAGTTCTGGTTTAGTTCTGTTTAGTCCTGGTTTAGTTCTGGTTTAGTCCTGGTTTAGTTCTGGTTTAGTCCTGGTTTAGTTCTGGTTTAGTCCTGTTTAGTTCAGTCACAACAGTTCCCAGTTTCTATGACTGTGAAAACTATTGGAGGCGTCAGAACTCGTCCCGACTCCAAACCACAAACCCAAACGTCCCACACGAAGAGGCCAACAAAACAAAAGAGCAAAACAAGAAAAGAAAACAAAGCGGCGGTGATGCAAAAGTCTGGACTGGGACTGAGACTCGCTTGGATTTTGTGGTTCAAAAAAAACCAAAAAAACAAATGAGGCAAACAGGTCGGACTAAGAAAGAAACCCTGAAACAAGACTTTGCTCATGATCTGTGATTAGAAACACGCCGCAGAAGAGACTCCACCACAAACCACCACAACACGCTCCAACAGGAAGTGAGCACGTGCACACTTCCAGCTCCATCCACTCCGGATCTTTTTCGCGACTGGAAGTGTAAAGTTGCCCCGAAATGAAAACGAAAACTTAAAGGAGAACAACAAGCCACATCAGTCACACAAGAAACTCAACTCATGTTATGATCACGAATAAAACAGAAGGAACTTGTTCACTCAGACTCATTCTACTATTAAAATTACAAATCTATTTTATGATGTCGATATTTGCACATTGCAATATTTGCATATTGTGCAGTTTAACTGCTACAGATGTTCACAGATTAGACGTCGAGCATTTTAACTGCACAGATCTCTCTGTCTATGCAAATATCTACATCAGACATGTCAAACTCAGGCCCAGGGGCCAAATTGGTCGTGAATATTATATTTTGGTCATATCCGACAATGCATATAGTGCAAAAACGGGCTCATTAGAGTGTCTTGCTATCAAACCCGATCGACAACAGAGTTCAGCTAGCAACTTACTCAGAGCTCAATTATTTATATATATAAGTATGAAATGTTAGTATAAGTTTTTTAGAATTCTTGTTGCTACTCTGAGATTCAATGCTTTAAAAGAACTATGTATCTGTTTAAATAATTAAAACCAATATCTCTCTCTGTAGAGAGAGTACTCCTAACCAATTTCACAATAAGTTCTCGTACAAGAGAAGAAGACCACCGACATTGGCAGTCGTGTTTTGGAATTGAGAGCATATATGTTCTCTTGACAGTAACAATATGATTTAGTTTACACACACGTGTTGATTGTCCCGCTCCAGATTTTTCCAATTGTTTGCACGCGCGCACTATATGTATGAAATTGACTGTGCCTTGATTCACTCTGCTGATCATACATCATCAATTTCATAATTACAATTAATTTAACTTCTGTGACATACTGTTTTAGATATGTACGAGTAACTCGAATGTGTGAAAGCAAATGGTTCCTTCATAAGTCTGTTATTATTAATCTCTATTTGGCGTCATGAATGCTAAGAAAAGCACACTTATAGCTCGTGTATATTAAGCGATGCACAAGTTCTGCTGCTTCACTCACCTCACTTTTCTGGTCCTCGAAGCTAGTGTTGGATAGACGAGACCTGGTAAAAGGACCGAGACGAAGTACAAGCGACTACGAGAGATTATGACACGAGGTTTACCTCTGGCTTGCGATGGCCTTCGTCAGTGGCCTCACGCGCTTTTTAAGACGGGCTTTGGAGGAACAAGTACTTGAGGACTAGGAAACAATCAGGGAGGGGCTTCGTAGTTGAGAGCCTGCTTTTGTCCTCTCGCGGCGTGGAGTGAGGAGAAAGACATGAGAGCAGAGATCTGGCCACTCACCTCCCTTGTCTACGATGAATAGTCCCAATGCCGAGGGGATTGTCATTTACTGGTCTTCACTGGAATACACGTAATGGTATATATTAGGTTCTTTTTCAGACCCTCAGGAGTTTTAAGTTTCATTCCTCGACAAGTTTATGGACTGGATGATCAGACTAGTCGTGCTTCCTCAGCCAGCGTGAGAGTTATATAGACCGTAGTGGTGACGATGTCTCGGTCAGCTGGAGTTCAATCCTGACCTTATGTGTTTTTGGCGGCTAGATCTTCTCTGGACGAGATAGTTAGGCTGGCCCCGGACGACAGCGCTCATACTCCTGCACCGTCTTCTCAGATCATTCCAATCAAGCAGCATAATAGTATCATGCCCCAGCGTGTCTAATTGGTATGTGATGGAGTAACATGACAAGCCCCTCCAGTCCCAAGCTTATATGATATTTGTCTGTTCGCTAGATGTTGGTTCTCCTGACGTGCGTGCCCTTCAGGCGAGTGGTTTTTAGTGATAAACGCAGTGTAGTAGGTGCCGCCAGGGAATAGATATTCCACATGAGCCACAACATGTGGTGAGTGTTACTAGGTGTGTGTCTCTTTGTACTGGCCTGTGGAGACAATCCTCTAATTTTACGTGCCCCCTGTCAGTGACCAATAAGCTAGGATGAAGTGTCTGGCAATTTGACCCCATATTTCTGTTGGAGGGAGAGGGTGTGACTTGGAACTTCGCCAGTGTAGAGTCTGTCTGTGTTAACTGATTAGGCCCCCACGACCCGACCCCGGATAAGAGGAATGGTAGCTCTAGAATTGTGATTGGTTTGAGAGGTTTGTTGTGAGTGCCTCAAAGATAAGTTTAATTTGTAGGTTCAAGGTTTTGTCGTGACAAATTTCTCCATTTATATCAGCTAAGTTCTCTAACATTGATTATACGTGTTCTCAAATTTCTTGTTGAGACTATACTAGTGCTTACATTTGTGTTTCTCCAACAATGTAATATATAGTTACCACAAGCCACATTTACAATTACGTCGAGCGAAATGTCCAATTCTTTCTTATCTCCTTCGCTACTACAGTTCTGGTGCTACGTGCTGAGTGATTGTGATATCTTTTTGTTGTGAGCTGACGTTACTCAGTTTGCGATGGCTGCGTTCACCCTCGTGGTTCTATTAGTATCGATAAAGGCCTTGCGATTCCAGAGACGACAATGGGAAAATAATAAACAGCTTCTAATTACTCGTAATCATTTTTATTTTTGTTAGACAGAAAATCCTTACGTTTTCTAATTGTCGACTGCGAAGGCTCTCTGTTCTTAGCATGTTGGTCCAAATTTAAAAAATAAGTTGTAGTATGTGTAGTGTGTGGCTTCCGCACATAGTTGGTGTGCAAGAATCAGGTTGTTAGACGGCCCCGTTATTTCTGTCCGCTGGCGCAAGGCTGGAGACACGACATAGGTACAGGACGCACCAGCCGCGTGAGCACGATCTCCCTCGAGCGTAGCTCGAAAAGTTCTCGTACACGAAACATATGCCATGCTTCGGAGCCGATAATACTTCATGGACTTTAGAATTATGGTTCGCTGCTGAGCGCTTTGACCTAAAACACCTCAAAAGAACACACTAGAACCCATCTTACTTTGCTTTTAAAAAGCGAAGTAAATCTCGCGAAGTGAGGTGTTTTAGAAGGACGAAGGATCTATCTACTGCCACATCATGTTGTGATCTTCAGCTGCGTGCTGCAGCCGGCAGCGACGTCCGTTTGAAAGGAACGTGTGGATGTGAGACGGAGTACAGAGTGGTGAGGGTGTGTGCTTCACTTCAATGACACGGGATTTCACTTT